CTTCAAAAAAACAAATGCCACCTTCAAAAAAACATAAGCCAACTTCAAAAAAACAAATGCCACCTAAAAAAAAAAAAAAATGTCACCTTCAAAAAAACAAATGCCACCGTCATAAAAACAAATACCACTTTAAAAACTGTTTCGGAAAATTATAAAAATCATGCCCGTTTTTAAATCCGAAGTTTAAATAATTACAGATTACCGTTCTTCCAAGTTTCTTTAAACTCTTTGAACGTATAATCTATAACAGGTTATACAAAAGTGTAGTTCAAAACAAATATTAATGTCCGGGATAAACATCGAACCGGAAAAAAAAATAAAGAAAAACTTTCTATTTCTGTCGCTACCTACATAATTATATAATATCTAAAAATATATTGAACTTAATGGAACATATAATAATATAATAGAATAAAACTTAATTGGATATAGCGAATTTTAAATAAAAAACTAAGAAAACCTAATTTAATTAAAATAATTTTATTGAGATCTATCAATAATGTGTTGAATTAAAAGAATAAAATAAATTAATAAATAATAATGATAACAATAATAATTATAATAACAACAATAATAATAATAAAATTAATGATAAAAATAATAATATGTTAAGTTATTACCAGCTATAATAAAAGAAGTTATGCGGCAGTGCACGATGGTCTATTATATTTGATATATAGAAGATTTGACAAAAAATTATTTAAGTGTAATTACTATTTACCTGTATTTTTATCATAAATTTATAAAATCTAAAAATTTTAAGATAAATAACAATAAGATTGCCATCTTAAACATTAAAATTTATTGAAGAATTAGTAAACAAATAATTGTTTATTGTCGATCTCAAAAAAATCATAACTTTATAAAGATTTCAGAAATAATAATGTTTTAAAACCATAAGAAATTAATTACTTAAATTTCATAAACAAAAATAATGTTTTTTAATTTTTGTTGCCTACTTTTTAATTCTTTAATTTTTTTCAAATCTCTAGTATTACCTATTGTTCAGTATTTTTATTTTTGAGTAACTTCATTTTGTTTGTGAAAACGAACCCAAACTTTTAGAAATGTACAAGTAACCATTTATTTATAAACAAGTACCCATTAAAGTTAAATTTTTTAAACAATTTTTAGAATACCTGTTGGCACTTTAACTTTTAACTTTTATAGTTAATCAAATTATTAAAGCGCCTTCATATTAAGGTTGCATACAAACTTGTCTTACTTAATTAAGCTTGCATACAAACATGTCTTACTTTATAAACGTGTATTTCTTTACTATATAACTTACCGTGCAAGCATGTATTACTCTCAAAGCGTATACTATATTACTATATAACTTAAAATATCACCAGCAGGCACAAAGACGTCTATTAGACATTCTTTTAGTGTCTTTGACATTTTGAGACATCTGAGAATTTTTGAGAGGAAGAGTTAAAAGTGCAACTTTTAGCTCTTCCATCTTAAAAGGTTGCTGAGCCCTTGTTTTACAATTTGTTGAATGCATTTTTTGTTACTCTATTTTGTTACTCTGTTAGAAATAATTGGCTTTTACTGTAAAATAGGATTAGGTCTAAAGTTAAAGTGAGGAGGATTGGCTCATTGAAGTGTTGTATTAATTTGAAATATGTTAATAATTTAAACGTGTAAAATGTATACATTTTTGTGAACCCTTTTCATCTTTTTTATCTTTTTTTTGTTTGGAGTAAGTCTTTGTAGTTATAAACTGAAAATATATTCCTAATTAAAGTTTAATTTTTTTTTTTTTATATCTTTTATTTTCATTAAGTTTTTGTTCAGAGCAAGAATTTAAATTTTTAATGGTTATATTCATTTAAAATATGCTCATAAAATTTGAATATATTATTATTATTATTATTTTGAGGGGGTAATTGAATTTGACGTAATTTTGTAAGGGGATCTCTAGAGGTAAAAATTGCTAAAAAATTGTTGACGTAATTAATGTACAGCCCCTAAATATGTATATGTATGCACGTAAGTATATATATATATATATATATATATATATATATATATATATATATATATATATATATATATATATATATATATATATATATATATATATATATATATATATATATATATATATATATATATATATATATATATATATATAAGCAGCCGTGGCGCAGTGGTTGGAGTTCTGGCTCAGAACCCAGAGGTCCTAGGTTCGACGCCAGCTCTAGCCCAACAAGCAACATTGGTACGGAAGGAGGCGTGAACTTCCTGTTAAATGCTCTCCTGCGGTGCTCTATGAAAAGACTGCAAGGACTTCTGGGAGCACCTAAATACATACAATTTATATATATATATATATATATATATATATATAACAAATTTTTTTATTTTAGATGTTTATAAGGTGTTAACATTTAGATTTTAAAATTTTTCCTAATATTTTCGTTAATTTAAACTTTTTTTTTGACAATTCAGTTAATTCACTCTTTTTTTAAAGTAAATTACTTTTAAATCAGAAATTAAATTTAGTTGCGTTATCTCAAAAGTTTAAAAAAGATATTTATATATATATTATTTATATATATCGTTTAACTCAAAAATTGACAACAATGATGAGAGAGGAAATATCTTAGTTTAGGGGAGATGAGGGAGCATTGGCACGTTTCGAAAAGAAATTGAAAAAAATAATAATAATAAATCGGAAACTAATATTTTTTGCTATTTTCACAATGTGTTGGCAACATTTAAATAAAATTTATGTTTACAAAAATTACTGGTTAAGTACAATACTTTTGATTTTTCAAAACGTAGCTATTTGTACCAATGCTCCCTTACTTATGGAGCATTGGTACACAGCAAGGGTAGCATTCGTACACCGCATGCAAACATTAACACATAAAGAGAAATTTCGTACTAAATATCTAATAAAAACATAAAATAAATAATGTAATATAAAAAAAAATTAATAAAAATAACTACTACTTAAATTTACTACTTGAATTAAATAAATTAATAACATACATATTTGCAACTTGTAATAAAGTAAAATATTTTACTTTATTAAAATATTTACCGTAGTGAACCAAGTATATATGTAATATACAGAACAGATAATAAAAATTCTGTACCAATGCTTCCCAATTTCGATATATCAATCCTCATCTTTTACCTGTGAGTGCCTCAGAGTGAACTTTTTATTTATGTATTAAAAATCTGTTCATGTTTTAATTTTTTCACGGCAAATTTAAATTTAATCTAAAATTTAAGTTAATTAAAACATTAATAAACGCTCAAAAAGGTAGCATATTTACCATTCTCAGCAAAATGTAAAAAAAAAAAAAAAAAAATCAACATAGCGGCATAATGAACAACAGGTAAATTTACAGGTAACAAAATCTTTAAACCTGACTATATTTTCTAAGTGATTATAAACAACATTTGAAATCAGCATTTAAAAGTTGAAATTTATTTAAAACGGCTGAGTGTTTGCCTGTGTACATATGCTTACCCTGTACCTATGCTCCCCCTCTTTCCTATGGTAATTAAAAACTAAAATATTTTTAGTCTTAATGTATTTTTTATAGCGTACTTCTTTAATCCTGTTACAATTTATTTAAATTCAATAATCTCTTGAGCTTTATTTTTTCCTTAATTAACTAAAAATTAAAATAATTTAACAAGTTAATGTAAACAACAATAGCAGTAACAAAAAAAAAAAAAAAAAAAAAGGAAAAACTTCGTTTTCTAAAAAATTCAAAACAAATGCAAAATATTAAAATCGTTACAAACATTGCTCATAAATAATATATATTTTTGAGTGAATAAGTTAAGCGTTTTAACATTTACAGACGTCCAAATCAAAACCAAATGATAAAGAATCATTTTTGAAAATTAAAAAACTCTTAATTTTATTTTATAAATAAATTAAATAAATCGACCTAAGACCTAACTAACACAACCGAGATTCATACCCTCCAAACAAAGATACCGATATTAGAACCGATGGGAGTCTTGATGGACCGACCACAATATGCCTAACGCAAACATAAAATTTGTGTACACCAAAAATAAGCCCATTAACAAAAAGGTATTTTTGAAAACTCATAGTTTTTTAAATAACTTCATAAGTTTTTAAAAAAAATATTTCCGCATGTTTCACTAGTGTTTAAAAAATCATCGACGAAACATGTAAATACTTTATTTATTTTTTAATTTTTTTTGAGCTATGAAACGTGCGAAAAGCATTATTTAAGACAAATAACTGCTCAAATAAAAAAAATTAAAAAAAATTTCTGAGATTAAGAAAATATGTTTAAACTAACAATCTTTAATTTTTATAACTTTTTCCGCAATTTTTTTGCTAAAATTACTCCAGATGAATTAGGCAGGTATAACTAAAGATTTTGCTGATTTTTGGGGAAATTATATTTTTAAATTATGTTCGTCGTTCTAGTGTAATAAAAGCTGCCGGTTTTGTACCTTTTGAATTTGACTCTGATGAACGCAAAAGCACAAGTTTGCCAAATGTAAAAAAAACTAATTTTTCACCAAAGGGAATGTGTCGTCAAATTTGCACCAAAGAAAATGTGTGTTGTGATTTTGCACCAAAGGAAATCTGTCGTCGTGGCCCCTTGAAAAACGGTAAAACGTTTTTTTAAAGCAAAAACCTGAAACAACGTAAATTATTCAAAAATCCCACCAATGGTTTTATACTGTTTTTTTAACATTTGACATTTAACCGCGTTTAACCATTCTCTTCTGACGCCTCTGAATTTGAGAGATAAAATACTAAACATTTAATTGGTAGATCTAACTCGATAACTTAACGTTAAAACAATAATAGCCAACAACTATTTTTACGCAATTGTAGAAATGCTATTAAATACGTGCTTAAGTTGAACGTTTTTCTTCAGAGAATGCGTGTAAAATAAGCTTTCCTCAAAAGAAAGTTTAAATTGATTAAATCAAAAATTAAAAATAGTAATTTATCATTTATAAACTTTCTTCATTTATGAAAAGTTTGATAATAGAAACAAACTCAAAAATCTTAAAGAAAAAGAAATGAAATATCATAGTGCGTATATATTTGTTGAGTAAGAATAAAATATATTAATTTTTTTTTAAATTTATTTTATTTCTTATTTGCTATGATTATAACAATCTGGTTTTTAGCTATAGAATATATTTATAATGTATTTTAGTTAATAAAATTTTAAGAATTATAGTTTGATTAATTGGCAGTTAAAAATTTAATGCGCAAAGCATAGACTTCCGGTTTTTACGTTTATATCTTTCTGTTTTTACGTCTTTTGGTTTTACATCTTTTAGTGCGACTTCATTATTATAATTTTGAAATATATGTTCGTAATATCTTCCCTCTTGAGAAATACTGCTTAAAAAAAGAAAATTTGCCAACAACTTACGAAGTGAGGATAAAGCTACTAGGATTATTGTAAATTACTTATAAAGCTAATTATTAAACTGTTTCTTTAGTTAAAAATATTTATGACACTTTAAAAAACTTATTTTGCGTCATAAATTATTTTTGTTAGTTTTAAACTTTTCTAACAACCTTCATTTTAACTCTTCCTTTATAGCTAAAAAGGAAGGCGTGATTTAGAAATTCGTAATGTTTATCTTCTAGTCGAATTCTTTAGATGTTGCCGCCTTATTCAACTCTGAATGTTTTGTACCGCCAAGAAAGTAAAAAAGTTTATTCATGTTTAAGACTTTGAAAGCGTGTGCGTAAAAACAGTTATTTAAGTCTGTTTTTTGTAGTAAACGATCTGAATTTTGAAAAAAGTTTTTAGATATAGAGTAAAAATTGTATATATTGGTTACAAATAAACTTATAGAATGGATAATAATGCAGAAATAAATGAGAGTAGTGAAGGAAATTTAAACATAGTCGATGGATTTATAAAAGAAACAAGACAAGCGGCTATGAATCATATAAAAAATGAGACGGGGGTCATTCAAACTGCTGTGAAATGCAAGGGTAAAACAGGAATTCGTAAAATAAATTCTACTCGAGAAGAAGATAGTATAGAAGAATTTTTGATAGTAACTTATGCCACACTCGAGGAGTTAGAGGTAAGATATGTTTACCATTATTTTATGATAGCACTATTTTTTCTTTTTTTGTGTTTCTCTTGTGATTTAGAAACAGTAATTTTTGTGTGCTTGTTTATAAATTTTATACTTTTACTGTGTTTACAATTCAATATTAATATAATAACAATATATATTGTTGCTTTTCCAAATAAATACATACACATATATATATATATATATATATATATATATATATATATATATATATATATATATATATATATATATATATATATGTATATATATATGTATATAAATATATATGTATATATATATATGATTATATATATATATATATAAATATATATATATATATATATATATATATATATATTTAGATATATATGTAGATATATATGTATATATATACATACATATATATATATATATATATATATATATATATATATATATATATATATATATATATATATATATATATATATATATATATATATATATATATATATATATATATATATATATATATATATATATATATATATATATATTTATGTATGTATACACACTTTTTTGATATACTTAAAAAGGGGCGTTCATAAGTTGATAAGTTTGTGTAACATTTGATGTTTGCCAACTCTCTATATAAAATGAATAGCTTATGTGGTTCTCATTTTACCACCAGTAAAAAAAAACGAAAAAAAACTTTTGTTTCTATTTGACTTTTAATTATTTCTAATTTAATTAAAAGCAGAATATACTAAATGATACTATTTTAACGCTTATTTTTGTGAACTGTTAACATTTTTTTAGTATTTTAAAATGTACCTGAAAATTGACTTAAATACATGATATTTTGTATATAAAATACAAAAAAATCTTTTACTTTATTAAAAAAATCTTTTACTCTTTATTAAAAAAATCTTTTACTCTTTATTAAAAAAATCTTGTACTCTTTATTAAAAAAATCTTGTACTCTTTATTTATTAAAAAAATCTTGTACTCAATAAGAGTGCTCAATAATAAATATGATTTATTTAATAAAGCACCATATTTATAATTTTTGTTTTGTATTACACTGCTGATTATCGCCTTTAGGCATATGAGTGCTAAAAAGTTGTATGTCTATAAAAAGTTGTATTTTTTTGTTATAAATATATATGAAATACATATTAAAAATGAATATGTAATATTTAAAATTCTTGTTTTTAAAAAAGTAAAATTATAAATTCAAACGTTAACATATTTGTTATAGTTTTAAAAAACTTTTTTTATTTTCTATTATTTAGGGAAAGAATTTTTTTTTGCAACAAAGTTATTTGCGTTATTTGCGCCAATATCCCGTATTAAATTTAAAGTGGTTTTATGCCAAGAGTACATGGTACATTTACTCTGCTATATATTCATTATTATAAATTTTCAAAAAAATACTATGAAATACATAGTAAATATTTTGTGTTTGATAAAAGGTTTTAGACTGCCAACGGTTTTCTTTTGATTTATATATACAAAAAAAAACTTTTGTCTTCTTTGTTGATAAATATGAAAATGATTTTTTTCGCCGCAGATATTTGTATAAACGATTAGCTTTAAAGTTATTAATCCCTTATTTAAGTTTTTGTTACGGAAGCTTATTTTAATTATAGGCTTTTAAAATTACATTGAAAATTACTGCTTGGTTATGCCATCAAACATGACATCTTTTCTTATGTTTTTCAACCGCATAAAAAACAGTTTTTTTTTTAAAAAAAAAAGTTGATTTTTTGTTTTGTTTTAAAGATCAAATATGCTGCTTTAATTGTGTTTACTCAGTTGTCTTTTACAATTGTTATTAAATTTTAAAAGACGTCTGACAACTCACTGATTTTTTTTTCCTAATATATCATTTCAATCTTTTTTTACTCTGAATTTGTTTTATTTATATTTTGCTATGCATCACAAAATGTAAATTGTTTTTTACCGTATTCAGAGTGAAAACTTTTTGTGAATAAATTTATCACGCAAAACTGTTTGGATACAAAAACATGACCTTATTTTATATTTCAAGCTTATATAAAACGCCTTTTCTTATAAAAATCCGCATATTATAAATGAATTAAGGGTAAAGATATATTCACAATGCATTTCTTTTTTCTCCGCCAAATTAATCTTCTTTCCATTCCTTAGTTTTAAAAAATTAAATTACATTTCTTATACTCCCGGTCGTAATTTGTTAATAACTCTACATTTATAATTTTAAAAATACTTTTATAGTTTATAAATTAAACATAAGTTATAAAAATTTAACAAAAAGCTTAAAACATTTTACAAAACTCGCGCCTTTAGTTTTTTTAGTTTGGTTTTTTTTGTCAAAATTTGTGCATACCTTAGAAACAAAAAAAAAAAAAAATTAATTTTCCTAATGGTTTTGTGAGTATGCGTCTTTAATTGAAAAAAAATCTTTAAAAAAAACGTTTTGAAAACTTCTACCCCAGAAATGAATGAAAAGAAAACTTTTTCACATTTTCTGATTATCAAATGTAACTCATTCAGAGTCGAGTAAACAATAAATAGTTCAAATTATTAAATTGTTTTTTTTTTAAATAAAAACAATAACTACTAAATATCCTTAATCATTTTAAAGATAACTTTGTTACTTCACGGTCAGTTTATAGCGACTCCCTCTTTAAATAATTTTCGATTGAGTTATTACTTTAGAAAAAAACATCTGATTAGTACAAAGTGTGCTAATCAGTTTTAAAATCTGTAAAAAAAGATGCCGCATTAATCTTTTTACTAAATGAAATGAATCTTAAATAATAAGTTTTTTTCATTCAATATAATTAATAACATAGTTTTTTAAATAATAAAAAAAATAATTAGTTAAATATTATTTTAACTTTTCAATTAACAGATCATGAGTATAATACGGCAGTAAAAATGTAAAAGTAAAGTATTGTCAACTCTTTATGTTTTGTCTTTTTTTAGTCGGATGGCCCTATTCGTCCTGGATTGCAAGTTCCTAAAGGAAAAATTTCGACTGGAGGTACCAAAAGACCATATGGACCACGAAAAAGCAAACATAAAACTGATAAAAAAAATAAAGAAGATAAAAATGAGATTAAGAAGACAGTTAAAAAGAAATTCACAGAGGTTTTATTCAAGTTTTTCTTTGTATATGTGTAGTTAAAAATTACCACAGACATTAAGTCAATTGGTAATTTCTATTTAACAACATTTAATTTAACAATAGTAAACTAGATAACTATGATTCATAATTACCATAAAATTTCTAAATAAACTGATTTTAAAAATAATTTCCTCTATAATTTAATAATTTTTTTTTATTATTATTATTTTTTACATATATATACTGATATTTTGTGTTACTTGATTTTTTCTGAAAATACTTGACACCTTCTCATATATCTGACATATATATATAGTGGCGGATTAAGACTTCTTGGGGCCCGGGGCTGTTTTTGTTTTTGGAGGCCTTTTTATGGGCCAGAGCCTAAAAATGAAAAAAAAAAAAAAAGATCCTCTAAAATTTTTGGGAGCTTCTAAATTTGCAGGGCCTGGGGCTATAGCCCCCCTAGCCCCCTCCTTGATCCAGCACATATATATATATATATATATATATATATATATATATATATATATATATATATATATATCATCAGTATCATAGATTCAAATTGTTTGTGAAAGGTTTATTTTGTTTTACTATGAGAAATTTTTATTTATGTAGTGGCAAAAATACAAATATTTAAAAAAAATATATATTTGTATTTTTGTCACTACATAAAAATTTATTTTTTCAATTTTTTTTTTTGAAAAACAACTTTTTAAAAAATTCTGTTTGTAAAATAGTTTATTTACTTTGTGTAACAGTGAGTAAAAATGTTAAAATTCCAAAGTGTAATTTTTTTATAAACCCTTTAGCAATTTATAAACTTTTTAATAAAAGGTAAATAAAAAGTTTGTTTATTTTGGCATGCTAGTAAACTATGATGTAGTAATATTTAGTAAAATAATCTACTAGCATGCTAGTAAACAAACTTTTTATTTATCTTTTATTAAAAAGCTCATAGCTCATAGGGTTTATAAAAAAATTACACTTTGGATTTTTAACATTTTTACTCACTGTTACATGAAGTAAATAAATTATTTTACAAACACAATTTTTTAAAAAGTTGTTTTTCAAAAAAAAAAAATTGTTTTTAATGTAAATTTTTAATTGTGTTTAAATTTTTATTATTTAGAGCCACCCAGTTGACGATTACAAGGATGTTTCAGATGACCAACAAAACATGGACTTAGTAAGATATTTTATAGGTTTTCTTTATCTCATAGTACTATCGATTTTTTGATTTTTTATCATCAAGTGTTTATGACTAAAATTTACTAAAACCAGAAATACTAATTAATTAACTTTTACCATAACTTGTTAAACAAGACCATTGTACAGAGAAATAGGTTGAACACAATACAGAGGTGCAGGAATTAAATCTTAAAACTCTTGTATTTTACTACAGCATAAGTTGTTAAAATCTAAGTTTAAAATTGGTAGTTAAAACTTAAATCAATAAAAACAACTAAATATTGTTGTTATATCTCAACTCTCTAACCTTGATAATTATTTTTTTCTTTGTTATACAGTTTTCTTAACTTTGTAAAAACCTTTTTTTTAGAAGAGAATAAATTACTTTTGCAAAAATTTATGTTCTTTGTTGATTATTGAATTGCTGTATTCTTGTAACTCTTCTATTCATTTCGTTTATATTGAAAAAGCAGCAATTAATTACTGAAACACATCAAGAAATTTCTATTCTTTTTTTAGACTCTGTGAAAGGAATGATTCTTATTATAATCATTTTAAACATATTTTTAGCAATCAATGGGCCAGCACAAGGGTGAATCTTCAATGTTATCAAATGGTGTGTTATTAATACAATTCTTGCTTTTGTTTATTTGTTATACTTACTGCTTGTTGTTACTGTTGTTTACTTATTATTTGTTAGTATGCTGTTTGATATAATATTTGCTTGAATCTGCTGTTCACATCATGTAACATACTTTCAAAACTTCAGGGTTTTTTTTTGACTTTGTATTTTTTTTGGTTTTGATAGTTTTGAGACATCTCATACACTATTTTGCATTACCACCATAACCAAAATTAAGCTAAAGCATTGCATTTCAATTGAAACTTTACAAAATATATAATATTTACAAAAATATTCAAAAAAAGATTACTGAAAAATATTGAAAACCTCCAAAATTGTCACTTTTATTTTTTTATGCATTTCTATCAGAGAAATACGTGAAAATGGATACTTGTGAAACATGTTTATACTGAGGACTCCTCTTTATTCAAAAACATTACAACTCTTCTCTCATTCAAAAAAAAGCGCCAATTTTAAAGGTTTTCAATATACTTCAGTAATGTCAGTTTTAATATTTTTCAAATTCATTTTCTCATTTTTCTGAGATTAAAAAATGATTGAGACTGAGATTGAAAAATGATCGAGATTTTGGCGGTGAGTGAGATCTGAAAGTATAGCACTGTAATTATTAGAAGCTAATATTTTTCAAGAGCACTAGAAACTTTAAGGCCAGTTTTTAAAATCTTTTACTGACATTCTAGAAAAAAATTGCAGCTTGAATTTTTTATTAAAAAAGCCAAAAGTTCATTTTTATTTATTTTATTTGAATTTACCTAGCAGTTTCTACATTCTATATAATATAGAAATATGTTTAAAAGCTTAAATATATATGTAAACACATCTTTTACATACTTATTTTAGCCACATTAAAAATGTGGCTCAATTAAGAAATGCATTGTCATTTGTTTTTGCTGTTCCTTTGTTGTTGCTAATAAAAAATTTATAGTATATGAACCATAAAACCAAATGTATTATAACAACATTTGAATTGTTGTCATAACAAAAAGTTGAATTGAGTTTTGTTATTTAGATTACTTAAATTCCATTCAAGCATTACCAGAAAAAAATGTAGATACAAGCAGTTCAACAGTTGTCTCTAACTCGAGAACCACACAGTTGATTTCTAGTGACATTTTCAAAAAAGCAGAACTTTTAAGTACATCATCTACCTTTCATCCAATTCATTGTAGAGAAGAGAAAACAGAAGATACACGACAATCATTAACAGAAACTACTTCAAGTAAACATTTAATTGTAAAAGGTATACAAAAAATGCTTTATATTATTTATAAATTAAATTTGATAATTTAATTTCATGTGTGTGTATAGTTTAATATGATATAATATATTAATAATATATAATGTAGTTTAATATAGCATAATATGTTACTTAAAAATAAATTAAAAAAGAGGCTGGGTATTAAAATTTAAATATAGCTACAAAATAATTGACTCTTCAAATTTAAGCTTTAAATTAACAAAAAAAAATTTTTTAAATACAAAAATCTAAACTTTTTAAACATAAACAAAGTTCTATACTTTAATAAATATACTTACCGCAGAGCTTTTTAAATGATTTACAAAATTACACAATTAGGTTGAGTATATTAACAAATATATAATAATTTTTAAATTTACATATTTTATATTTATAGAACTAATATTAGTTTTTTTTTTTTTAAATAAAATAAATATAAGGTAGACTTTTAAAGTATTTTGTAATGTAATGTTATGATCATGTTATTTTTATATTCGGTTATTATACATTTTTTAAATGGGCATATACAAAGGTATTTTTCAACATAAAAATTGCAAAAAAAAAAGGAAAAACCAAAAACTTAACAATTATAACAATTATAAAAATGAATCAAATTCAGATTTCATGCAAAATTCAGTGATTATTAGGGGAGATGACTGGTCTCTAAAAAATTTGGCTAGTTGATAATTATAGGTACCAATAGATGATATTATAGGTCTGAAGTTTATGGTAGTCTCAGAAGAATTTAACTTGTGCATCTTTGGAATCTATAGTTTTCATAACGTTCGGCAATGCCGACCTAAAAGTGTTTGAGGTCAGCAAAAAACTGCTGACCTTGTTTCTATGTTTTTTGGTAGAACTTTGTATCAATTTTTTTTAGGTGACCTGATGGGGACCACTAAAAATTTGTTATTTGTTAAAAAAAAATTTTCTTGTTTCATTTTTGATTAATTTTCTTTAGATGTTTCAAGCAATAGTTTAAGCTATTAATAAAATAGTTTGAGCTATTAATAAACTTTATAAAAAACTTTTCATAAAATAGATTCAGAAATATCTACAAATAAAGATGGAAAACATCATCATGTTGAAACTAGACATGAATCAATTACAATTGAGAGTTCTTCTAAAGAAAGGGAATCAAGACATGTACATCAACACCAACATCAACACCAACACCAACATCAACATTTTCATCCTCCATCATATGCGCAACCAATGCCACCTCATATGGTAAATATTCTTTTTTTTTGTTTTTGTTTTAGATTTAAGAAACAAAAGTTGTATGAAGTATTTTGTTTTAGTATTATCCTCCTTACATCATACCTCATCATATGCAGCCTCAGTCATCAACAGTTTTGGTCAAGGTTAGTTTTTTTTATCTGTTGTTTCTTCATAAGTACCTTTAAAACTTTTAAAATGTGTATACATCAAATTCTTTTTTTTAAATGTAAATATAAAACTATATTTTGCTTTTGCCAGTTAGCCAGAGAAAAGAAGCTGTAGGAATATATATATATATATATATATATATATATATATATATATATATATATATATATATATACGCCCAACAACTTTATCAAACATTTGCCTATTTAAACTGTAAATGAAACTTTTAGCTATTTTGTATGAAAGCTGTTAGTCTAAAGAATAAAATAAACTAAAAAGTTTTAATTCTGGCCAAAAGAGGGCGAGCTTATTACTGCAAATGCCACTAAACTTATGTTACACAGAAAATAAGGTAAAAAAAATTGCTTCAACTTTTAGGTTAGATTTCTGCAAATCAGTAAAGCAGTTTGTATTAGAAACTTTCACAAGATCTTAAGAATTTTATGCCAATTTAAAAAATTTATAAAATTTTATCAGAGGTGACTGGCTAAGGAAAATAAACTGGTTTTTTTGATACTATAAATCTAATTTATGTTACCTTGCGATTATTATTGTGGAATTTTTACTTCTATTATTTTGAGTTAGAGTTACATAACAAAACAATTGCAAAAGTATTGAACTCATTCATTAAAAAAAATTAACAAAGGAAATTTTAAAAAACAGATGGCACTCTTCCTGAGTGATTTTTCATAATATTTATAAAAGTTATCAAATCAAAAACAGTTTTTCTGCAAGACCAAGAGCAACTTTAAAAAATTATTTTAGTATTACAACTTTTTAACACTTATTTGAGTCGTTTAAATAAGAAAGTCTTTGGTTTGTTGAAGTTTTTACTTACACTCCTTACGTTTATGCGTATTGCCTTATTTTCATTAAGTTGAATTTTAAAATGCTGCAAAATATTTACATTTTGAAATATTTTTGACAAAAAACTAGGAGGGAAAGGGGTTCAGTTATATGTGATTGTTTGTAACAGGAGGGAAGGGGTTAAAAATTGATAAATATAGGGTGATGTGCTTTATAGATGACCCATAATAGCATTTACAAATGATTTGTTTTACTAAAAAAAAAAAAAAAAAATAGTTCTAACTGATTTTTTTTATATATATATTAGGAGAAAATCAATTAAATCTTTTTTTTAATGTCTAAATACAAATATTTATATAATTCTTATTTTTTATTTATTTATGTGTATTAATGTCAAATAAAATAAGAATACATTAACATATAAAAAAGCAATAATAAAAATAATTTTAATTAACATTAAATAAATAAGAGATTTTTTTTCTAAATTCTCCTAATATAAAAAGTTTCAGTTTAAACCTTGTCAACAAAATAATATTTACATAATGACGTAATTCATTTTGTTTACAAAAAAGCATCAGAACTCAAGAAAATGTTTGTAGTTTTAACTTTCGCATATATTATTAAAAAACTTAAGTTTTTTAACTAAATTTTATTAATAAATAAATTCATGGTTAGATTAACATTTTATAATGATACCTTTTTTATCATGTGACAATGAGAAAAACCATAACTTTCTGAAGCATAAAAAAATTAATTTTAGTATCAAAGATATATTTTAAATAAACTTTCATGTGTCTACATCAATATTCATTTGCTAAAAGTTGACGAAAAAGAGAATAAAATTTGACTACTTTTTCATTTTCCGCCATGGAATTGCCCATATATGTATATATATATATATATATATATATATATATATATATATATATATATATATACATATATATACATATATATACATATATATACATATATATACATATATATATATATATATATATATATATATATATATATATATATATATATATATATATATATATATATGTATATATATATATATATATATATATATATATATATATATATATATGTATATATATATATATATATATATATATATATATATATATATATATATATATATATATATATATATATATATATATATATATATATATGTATATATATATATATATATATATATATATATATATATATATATATATACACATAAATACACATAAATACACATATATAGGTATATATGAAGCCTTCACAGGAATCGCACACATTGTTTGACCACGGTAAAGTAATTTTTAATCTTACAACTTGACCACCTTTTTATATAGTAAGTCTTTTAAGAATTTGCGGCAAAATAAAGCTATAAGAAACTAGAGTTAATGAAACAACAATACTCGAAGAAAAGAAATGAAGGCTATGCAAAATAAAAAATATAAATGAAATAAGCTAAAAATTTGAATATTAAATAAAGAAAAATGTTTTCAAAAGAATAATATACCTAAACATTTTACTTTTTTTGTTTTATTATTTTTAGGATGTTTATTATTTTCCACTACCAAAATTGAGGAAAAAAGCAGATAAGAATATAATGAAAATAAAGACATTTTTTAATATAAATTTTTTTTGCAACTTTTTTCAGTCAATATGTTAAGGGAATATTTTATCATTTGCGCTAGAAATATGGGCTTTTTAATTTTGATTTTCAAATGTTTTTGCTAAACTTTACTGTTTTTCTTAATGCACAGGAAAGCAAGAAAACTAATTGCTACTTATTTGTAAAAAAAAATTTTTTAATAAGTTTTTTATGTAAAAGAATAAAAATTCATTTATACTAATATTTAAATACAAAATATTTGGTTGTTTTCAATAACCCCATTGAAATAGTCTACACTTTTGTTGGGTTATCCAAGTTGTGCATTTAAACCTGAAGTTTATTTTCTGATGAACTAATAATATTGACAATGCTCGAAAATCTTGTGGGCTAGTGTATTGTTTATTTACTGTACTTTTTTAACAAAATGTTCAAAAAATTATTAAAAATTTTTTTTTTAAGATTTTTTCAAATAGAGCAATCATTATGTTTATTATCTCTAGTAATTCGTTTTAATGTTGGAAATTGGGCAAAATAAAAGAAACAATTTCAGACAAGCATTAAATATTATGCTTTTATTTAAATTATTCTGTCATTACAATATTTATTATTCAAATCATATATATTATAAATAAATATCAATTTATTTTCTTATTTTCCTATTATATAAGAATTAGGAAAAACGTCAAATATAGCAAAAACATTTTTAAAAGCAAAAAGATGTCAAAACGAATAAACGTAAAATAAAAGTTCTTTTAGTTTTAGCGTACATATCAAATTAATTTCTTTATTATAAGGACTGATAAAAATCATAAATAAATTGCATATCAAAACTTTTAATTGTTATTAAATTGTTTTAAAGGCAATATGTTTTTTTATCAACTTGTATAAAATTTGGTAGCTAAAAACAACGACTCTAAAAAAATGAATAACAAAAGTTGAAATATATGTCTAAAAAAATATATGTCTAAAAAAATTACTTTAAACGTGGACGAATATAGCGTGCGACCGCATGTGCTTCTCAGGAAGGATTGATGAAGGCTTGATATATATACATATATACACACACACACACACACACACACACACACACACACACACACACACACACACACACACACACACACACACACACACACACAGAGAGAGATATATATATATATTTATATATATATATATATTTATATATATATATATTTATATATATATATTTATATATATATATATATATTTATATATATATATATATATATATATATATATATATATATATATATATTTATTTTTTGATGGTTCTGACCTGCTTCATTGAAGCAGGTGTTAACTATGCTGTGGGTGTTTTTGTTTTATTTATGACTAGGTCATGTCACAACACGCACAATTTATTGAGTGTTTCATACTTTTATACTTTTCAAACCATTTAAAAAACTTTTCAAACCATTTAAAAAACCATTTACAAAAATAACTAGCTTGTGTATATCTTGCATTTCTGAAGGAAATTTCAGAAGTTGCTTTAGATAGATAAGAACAAAAAACTCCAATTTTTATTAAAAATGATAATTTCACAACAACCTGAGCTTATGGTTTTAATGGGTATGTCAATTATACAGTAGTGTTTTTTTTTTATTGATACACTTTCCAAACTAATTTTTACGAATTAGTTAAAATACAATGAGCAAAAAATAAAAAAAACTCAAATGCTCTGAGAAAGATTAAGTCAGTGAAAGGTTAATTCTTCTCAGTGAAAGAGTGGAAGTCTTTTACTGTGAAGACTGGAAGAATGTTACTAATAGAGTTTCTTAAGGACCTGTCCCACTACTTTTCAACTTATTTTTAGACAATCTTCCTGAAAGTATTCCTCACAAGATAATGCTTTATGCTGATGAGAGCAAAAGTATTGATCATAAAGTCTGAATCGGACATCACAATATTTTAGCTAGACATTGGTAACGCGGTTATATGGTCAAACACTTGTCACTTGGTTATATGGTCAATTCACTTTAACATTAATCAATGTAAAAAGGTGCATGTCTAAATAAATGTTCAACACATGACTACTCCATGGAAAATACTGGTATAAAATACTGCTATATGAAATCTCACTGGTATAAACTATATGCCTTTATGTCTCAAATGACCTGAAAGTCAGAGCACAATTTGGAAAAGCAGCATCCACAGCCAATCGCATGTTAGGAAGGTTCAAAAATGCTATCCACAGTGTCAACTGGTAGAGTGCAGCTTATAAAATTTTTGCGGCTACAACAAGCAGCTTGAGTGTCAGCTTGTTAGTGAATATGAGGAGAGATCTAACTATTTAACGAACAGAGCTGCAATGGATTTAAAATTTAATGGAAATATTGCATAATATAGACATTTTTTCACAACCAAAAAACATTTGTAGTTAAAAATGTAAAAGAAAAAAAAAATAGTCCTCAATTTTTAATTTTGCGCTTAAATACAGTGGAAAACGGTCTAGAATAGTCCCTGATATATATATATATATATATATATATATATATATATATATATATATATATATATATATATATATATATATATATATATATATATATATATATATATATATATATATATAGATATAAAGATAGATAGATAGATAGATATAGGTATAGATATAGGTATAGATATAGATATAGATATATTCAGTGACCAATTTAAATGCATAAATGTTTTATCTCAAAATAAAATTTTTTAATTCCTTTAAATTTTATTTTATGTTGAGCATTCTGGACACTATTAATAGCTGTATATAAGTGAAATAGTTTAATTATATCATGCTGATATAACTAAACTTTTTTTTATACTTAAAATGTATAAAATCCTCCACAATATCTTTTTCTTAAAATCTAAAGGTGAGTTTCCACTCATCCGTTTTTTCACGGGAACGGAAAAGGAAAGGGAAAAATAATCATGTTGGCATGCGTATTATAAGTTTTAATTTGTCCGAAGTAAAACTGCGCATGCTCAATTGATTATTTTTCCCTTTCTTATCCCGTTCCCGTAGAAAAACAGATGAGTGGAAACTCACCTTTAAAAAACAGACTTTAAATAGTTTTTTTTCTGAAATTTAAATTTTATATTATACTATTATTATTATTTTAGATAAAATGATGTTATTAAAATTTAATGTTATTTAAACAATATTTTTTTAGCCTCAAAGTATTATACAAAAAAGATGTTGGAGCTCGATGCATGCATATATTGCTCGTTTTATACAGTACAGTCAACAAAAGGTTTGATTAACTCCATAAATTTTTCATCGTGCTACATTTTGTTATGAAAAAGGGATATCAATTTTAAATATATGACTGAGTGGCACTAGTTTTAAATATATGCTGAGTGAGACCAATATATGACTGAGTGAGACCAATATTCAGTATGGTTTAATATTGTAAGCATAAGCTGAAATAAAAGTTTTTATTTTTATATATATAGAGTGAGAAAGTTGGCTTTCAAAAGCCTCAAGAACTTAATCGTTCTACGAGACCTGGTTTCCATGCTTTTCAAGCAGTTGGACCTTCGATGCATGGCAGTCCATCTATTTCACACGGAAATCCATCCATCTCTTATGGAAACGGGGGACATTTCAAACAATTTTTACCAGACTCTTCATATTGTAACAGCGCTTCTCCACATTTAACTGGTAAAATTGAGTTATTGCAAATATTTTGTAAATATTTTATCATAAGGTTTTTCTTAATTGCTAACTTTCTATTTTAGGTACAAAGCAGCACATGAAACAAGTGGACTACTACACTAAAATGTTACAACGTGATAACCGTTCATTATCTCCGATAACAAATGACAATCACTTTTTTGCAAACAAAATGTCTCATAATCCTCTTAATAATCAAGCAACGCATTCCGAAATTGATACAAATTTTGATCCTATTACCTCACCTTATAGAGACCCAATCTTCAAGGGGATTTCTGGCTCCTTAAATACAAAACCATACATGAGAGATATTGAAAGATTTGATAACAAATATCGTATTGATCGACATTCAGCTTTATTGAAAGAAACAGATAGATTTCGTTTAGATTTTAGGAATACTCCTCACGATAATACACGTAACCCCTCTAATGCGTTATTCTTAGAAATGATGAGAGATAGTGGTTCGTTTTATAGTCACGATTTTCAATCCCCAAGAGGCCATTTATCACCACCTAGAGGATTACTTCGGACAGTTGATCCTGTTTATGAAAAATCTTTTATAGATATGGACCAAGAATGTTTGCTACCTAGAAAAGAAAAAGATAATTTTCGTATATCACATAATTCTTATTCTTCTATACCTGTAACTTCAACAAGTACGACTTTGACATCGTTGAGGTGAAATCTACTAGTCTTATTAATCTTGTTGTATATTTTATGAACTTATATCTACAATAAAATACTTTTTTACGCTGTGTGTACGCAAGTAAAATGGTAAAAATGTAACATTTAGCATATTTATATCAACTTTAAGTTTAAATGTATATAATATATTAAACAGCCATTTAGATACTATTTTTATTTCTTGGGAAAAATTTTTATTTTTGTGTTACATAGTTTTATATTTAGACATTTCTTATACTTTATGTTTTTTGAATGTAAAGCTCATTGTATATAGACATTCTTATGGTTCCTTAAATATAACGATTATTTCAGAAAAAGTATTTTTATTGTTTAGTGTTGGTCAAAATTATTAATTTATATTAAAACTTAACACTTCAAATTTGAAATTTAAGGGATATACAAGTTTAAAATGCAATCTTCAGGCTCGCTTTGACATAGAATGAAAAAGATTTATCATAATCATAGAATGAAAAAGATAGCATAAATGTTCAAAAAAGCAGGTTTTCATAAATAAACATGAAATGTAAAAACTTGCATTGCAATAAATAATACTTTAGCATCTGATTTCGTTTCACAACTTTGTCTGCAAAAATAAGATATACTTTTCTTCAATGGCGAATACACCATCGACGATTTAACTAGGGATGTACCGAAGCTTCGGCTTCGGCATGCTGAAGCTTCGGCAATTTTGCCGAAGCTTCGGTTCGGCCGAATCCAGGTCATTTTTTTGCCGAATCTTTGGCTTCGGCAAAAAATTTTAAGTAATTAAAGTTATAAGTTACTGTTGGACAAGTTATAAAAATACGCTAATTGCCAGTGTCTAATTAAGTTATAAATTTAGGACTACAGAGTTAAAGTTGGAGTCTATACCATATACTTAGTATTATTTACTCCCAAGTGTCTTGTTATGGAGGGGATAATAATAAATAAGTAAAAATATTTTGAAAATAATAATAAAATTAGGGAAGGTTCTCATACACTTTGAAGGCTTCCAAGTGTGACTTTAGATGATCTGAATCAGCATTTCTATTCAGAATAACCTTATTATTTAAAACAAATTAAAACTTATTTTTTATTATGTAACGAATTCATATTAATTATTGTGTGGAATTACCGCAAATAGATCAAAATTTGGTTTCAACATTTGACCTATAAACCTTAGTAATCTCTCTTTAAAGAAGATTAAAGATACGTTGCTACTATTTTAAATTGTGTGTATGTTTAATTTTTTTAAATTTTATTTAACCATATTAATAAAAGTTTACAAATTTTCATCGTAAATTTAAATGGTCTTAACTTGGTTTTTTTTTAGTTTAGAAGTTGTTCGTTTAATGAATAACTTCTATAATAGAAATAAAAAGATAAAGTGTGTTTATAAGATTTTTTATGTTGTAGATACAACTAGATCAGCTAAGAGTGTTTATTTAAAGAAAGAGTGATCAAGTGCAAAAGATAAATTTACTCGAGTAATGTTCAGAGATTTTTATCCACTTCTATTAACAAAAGGTGCATTAAAAATAAAAATAAAATATACAGCACATGAAAAGATGATATATAACATTAATATGGTTTGCACACAGAAAAAGTAGAACTAGAAGTAGGAAAGTTTGGGGAGAACGTTTCAAAAAAGCTTAAGGTTAAAAAAAAACGCTCGGTGCGGTCAAGTATCAGCAACGACACAATGAGAAACTTTCAAACAGGGGCGCTGAGAGCTTTTACTCTGCCTGGGACAGCAATCCTGACTGGCGTCCTCATTTTTATACGATTTTTCTATATTATTAGTCAAGGACCTTAGTTTTGGTACCTTTTTTGTATTGCACCCCTGCTGATCTGAATGCTGATTAAATTTTAAGCATATATAGTGCCGAAGCTTCGGCTTCGGCAAAGTGGCTTCGGCCAAAGCTTCGGCTTCGGAAAAATTTTAGCTTTGGTACATCCCTAATTTTAACAGCTTTTCACCATTAAAAAAAACATTAAAAAGCTTTCTTGTTTTATCTTAGGTTGTGATGGTATTACAGGGATGTTTTACTCCTTTATTATTATTATAAATCGCCATCAAATTTTGAATTGCAAAAAAAAAAAAAAAAATCTTACTAAACTAGGTAAACACTTTTATTGTCGTCAATCTTATTAGGTCATTATCCAAAATCTTTTAAAGAAATAAAAGGAACAATTACTGCGGTAAATGACGCACTCTTTTTTTTTTTCATTTGTAATAAAACGTCCTTTCTTTTTTTTATGCTATCAAACAATATTTTATACTATCAAGCAGTTTTTTTAATTAAACCATTAAAGTTAACATGTTTAATGTTAACAATACACGCTTTCAAAGTAAAAAAAAGTTTTACAAACCTAAGTTGAATATGAATCTTCTAAAAGAATTGATTACATAATAAATTAAATACATAATAATAAATTGTTTTACTTCATAAAAGATTGAGATGGTATTAAGATTGAGAGGTATCAAAATTTGGAGGTATTAAGATTTACTCAATTCTTATTTCAACATTTCAATACCTAAAAAAAAAGGTAGAAAAAAAACCGTTCTTAGCCATTCAAATCATGACATTTTTAGACTTATCTGCTGACTATTCATTTTAGATGTTTCTCGATTCACCACCGGCAACATAGATATTTCGTCAGAATAGTCAGAAAATTGAGCTTTAAAGCACTAAAAAAATTTACTTGTACAAGTGGTTCTGGAAATTACCACGTTTATGAAACGTTTTTAACGGAAGTTATTTTGGAATATTAGAACTCTTGAAGAAGTATAATTGTTTTTTGGCATTTTATTTGTCATTAATCATTTTTTTGGCATTCAATTTGTCATAACTCAGGAAAAAACTTAAGTAAAGTTACTTTACGTTTTTTTGTCTAAAATTGGTGCGGATATTATGTTTTTCCCAATCTTTTGACAACTTTATGATATAGAGTTTTTTTTGGAGTAAGTTTGGTTTTCTTTCATTTATCTTTGGGATAATAATGAAAAATTTGGAAACATTAAAAAGTCTTAAATTTCCGAAAATTTATTTTTTTCATTGAATTCATTAATGCGCATAAAATATTTATTCCTACAGTTTTCATTTATCTTATATAAAAAATGTTTTTCTATTATATAGGTCACTCCCTTATTCATTATCTTAAAAGAAAAATATGTGATAACATTTACTTTTTTTAAGGTTCAAGAGTTTTAATACTCTCAAAATAGAACTTTTAAATAAAATTTTTAATACTCTCAAAATAAAACTAGGCGACAATATCTTTATGAAGAATTAAGTATAACCAAGATCTATAAGTTGTTTAAAATCAAGTTGCAAATGATATTGATTGATTTTTTTATAATTGTCATATGGATCTTACTGCAACTTGAAATAAATGTATTACGTCATTATATATTCATTAGATAAGAATTAACAAAAACATTTATAAGCTTTAATTATTTTTAAGATTTTAATTATTTTTTGTTAATTCTTATTTAATAAGTTATATAATGACGTATTTTTTTTTTATATATGTTGTGCCCATGATATTATTTTATTATATTGACGCAATCAGTAGATGTTAGATATAGACACATACAAGGGTGATTGAAACAGGTGGGTTGGAGAGTATGGATAGGGAGTGCTATTTTTTTTTTAAGAAAGCAGTCAGTACTTTTCAAGGATGCGCCCCTTATTTTGTTACTAGAATTGCCCCTGGACATATGTGTGTAGAGTATATTTACGGGAAGTGCGAATTGGCATAAGTGCGAACGGCGTAAGTGCGAAGCAGTTGCAAAAACTGGCATAAGTGTGAATTGGCATAAATACAAATTGGCATAAGTGCGCCGAATAAATTTGCAAGCATTGGCATAAATGCGAACTGGCATAAGTGCGAATTTGCATAAGTGCGAAATACTAATTTGCACTTATGCCAATATTTGTAATTTTATTCGGCGCACTCATGCCGATTTGCAGTTATACCAGTTCGCACTTCTACCAGTTTTTGTAACTGCTTTGCACTTATGCCAATTCGTACTTATGCCAATGTTGGCAAATTTGTTCGCTGCACTTTGTTTGCAAATTTGTTCGATGCACTGTCAATTCGCCCTTATGCCAGTTTGCACTTGTGCCAGTAAAAACTGACAATAACTGGCATAAGTGCAAAGCAGTTACAAAAGTAACTGCTTTGCACTTATGCTTATGGTTATTCAGCCTCCCATATATTTACCACTAGTATGAATATTTTCACTAATATTGTTTTTTTTCAATGCTAAGTGCATTGAAAAAAAAATATTAGTAAAAAATTTCCTAAAACCTAAAATATTTTATCGGGTGGACACGGAAAAATCCGGTCAACTTTAAATTGAGATTTCTCTAAAACCATAAATGCTTTTTATTTCAATTTTTTTTTATTATTAAATGTGTTTACATAAATTAGAGTTTCAACTTAATTTTAAGGGGCTTGATGGGTTGCTTGGCAAGAAATCGAACTTTATAGCGGGTTGATGCCATCATTTTACAGATTTTTTCTTTTTTCACCATATTGGTGGCATTAATCCACTTTTTTTGGAAGTCCTTTTTATTATTTGTTAGTCCATCTGTCTTACGAAGAACCCTTTTAACTATTGCCGAAAAATCTTCAATCTTGCGCACTTCAGGACGATTTGGAGGATTCGCATCTTTAGGAACAATTTTCACATTATTATCTTTGCACCACTGTAAAACCTTTTTAGAATAGTGAGAGGCAGCAAGATCGGGCCAAAATAGACATTGGTATTTGTGTTTTTTTATAAAAGGCAAAAGTCTTTTTTTAGAGCCATTCTTTGATGTAGAGATTGGCAGTCAAGGACTTTTTAGTGACAAAACAAGAGGACTGCATACCACAACTACAAATTGCTTGCCACACAAGGAACTTGGATGCAAATTTTTCTCGTCGAATATATTTAAATTGATCATCGACAGGTTTATCTTTGTTTTCATAGTAAAACTGTTGACCAGGAAGTTGTGGAAAATCCGCCTTGCAATACGTTTCGTCGTCTTCAATTATGCACATATTTTTATCCGCCATTATTTTAACCAACTTCTTTGCGCGTCGAATTCCTTTAATTTCACAATTTACGCTTCTCTTAGGTGTATTTTTTTTATGAAATGCTTTAATTCCAGCATTTTTAAGTACTTTTTTGATATAAGAACAAGAAGTCTTAAATTTTCTTGCTAGATCTCGCTGTGACTGATTTGGATTTCTTGCTATTGAACGTAAAATCGACTTTACCTTTTTGGATTTATGGAAAGTTTTTTTTCTTCCACTTCCAAGTTTTCTTTCGAAGCTTTGAGTA